GCCTTTGTGGATCAAAGTCTCGTTATTTGAGCAGCTGTGCGAGCTTCTATTAGCTCGTCGATAGTACTGTGGAGTCCTAGCTCCAATAGCTTCTCGGTGCTGGTGGACTGTGGAAAGCCGAGCACGCGCTTGAGGCCTGTTCTGATTGTAGAATCAAGTTTGGCCTTCTCCGCTTTAGCACAATTAAGTTACGGCGCGATGTAAATAACATGGCTTAGAAAAAATGACTGGTAAGCTGTGACGAAATTGCCTTCTTTGAGGCCACGTCTGCAATTTCAAACACGGGCTACAAGTCTTAGTACATTACTTTCCTGCCCCGTGAGCCTGTTGAGCGCCTTCGAGTTACAGGCCCTGGCATCAATGAGGAGACCCAGAGTCTTCACGGAGTCTCTCTTCGATGTGGGCTGTCCGTTTTCTGCTGGACTTTCTATCGGCAGAGTTTTCAGAGGCGTAAGGTTGCGAACCCCTTGTCTAGACGGTCGGTATGCAGTAGCTCTGATTTATCAGAGGAGAGTTCAAGGACTGTGTTCGAAAAAAAAAAAGAAAGTCTTTCATAACCCCCAACGCGCTTTGTAAGAAGAGTTCGAGCTCAGCCAGAGAGAGCCACCCGGTACCCAGATCGTGTTGTCGTCCGCATAAATGGCGTGACCTAGGTTCGGGATTACAGCGAAGTGTGTGAGAGCCTGTGCATGGCGATATTAAATAAGAGAGGGGAGAACACGGAACCCCGCGGGTGCCGCAGTTGCCCAGCTCAAAGGGCCCTCCCGAGACCGTGCCTAGCCGAAGATGTGCCTTGCCATCCACGAGAAATGACTTGGTGGGGTCATGTTGAGACCTGGTCCAGGTTGAGAGAGGAAATCTCAGCGAGGATGAGTTTATGCGCCACCCAGTCGAATGTTTTGGAGAGGTCTAGTGCGAGGATTCCCCTCACGTCGCGAGTCTTGTTATCCAAGATAGCTCTCTTAAGTAGAAGCATGGCGTCCTGTGTGGACAACGCCTGTCGAAAGCCAATTAGGTTGTGTCTAAAGAGCCCCTTGTTTTCTATATGTTCTTTAAGCATGTTGTGTATCGCATCCTCCGCTACTTTGCTAATGCATGATGTAAGCGATATGGGCCGCAGGTTGGTGATACGATGGGTCTTGCCTGATATAGGTATAAGGACGAGCTTTGCGGTACGCCATTTTACCGGTACATGCCCCGTTTTCTATGCCTCGTCGGTTTCGGCCATAAGTATCTCGATTGCCCTGTCGTCTGAGGAGTTTGTTCGTGACTCCACCGCGTCCTGAGGCTGATCTGCCATTCAAATTGAAGAGAACATGCCTGATATCTGACACGGTGAATGGTTCATCTAGAGCAGGTGCCGCAGTTCCATGTAGTGTACCTGCTCCGAGCAATCACCATCTTTGGCGAGGGGTAGATAGCTATTTGCTAAGTTGTTAGCTATAATTCCTTCTCGGTGACACCGACCGCGATTGATTGATATGTGGGGTTTAACGTCCCAAAACCACCATATGATTATGAGAGACGCCGTAGTGGAGGGCTCCGGAAATTTCGACTACCTGGAGTTCTTTAACGTGCACCCAAATCTGAGCACACGGGCCTACAACACTTCCGCCTCCATCAGAAATGCAGCCGCCGCAGCCGGGATCACCGACCGCGATTTCCTTCTTTATGAGCCTATCCGTCGCAAGGCTAAGGGTAGTCTTCGACTGTTGATCGTAAAGAAGATTCTTCAATAAGCTCCATTCGCTACCTCTTCGCATACCCTCGTCCGTTTCGGTACACGTTTCACTCCATTGCTGTTGGGCGAGCTGGTTCGCGTATGATTCAATCTCTTTGTTAAGAAGCGCGAGTCTTGCTCTCAGTCTGCAGTTATGTTTCTGGGTCTTCCACCTGGTCGAGAGGGCGTGTTTTTCCTCCAGGAGGTTAGCGAGCCTCGAGTCCATTTTGGGAATCTCCAGGTCCATGCTGATTTCCCTGGTTGCTGCTTCAACGGTGTCGTTCAGATTGTTTAACAGACCTGGATACGTCTCATTTTGCGGGGCTGTTTCATCCCGGATTTTCCCGAAAAAGGTCCCAGTCAACGTACTCATATCTCACGAGAGGTCTCGGTTTGACACGCGACATAATTTCAAGTATGCAATGATCACTGCTTAGTCCATCCTGAAGGTTGTCCCATGCGCCTTTAATTCCTCGGAGGAAAATGACATCGAATATACCTTATATTTTTTTTTGTTGTTAAGGGTTGCACAGATTTACGACCGGGTTGTAGCTGAATTAATGAAGAGTGACAATTAACAGCAACTGCAAGCCAAGCAGCGCAGAAACGTTAATAAACACGATGTAAGCAGTGAGCAAGTGTTGTACTGAAACTAAAATAATTACCACCGACCACTTTCTGGCAATCTTAAATTTGGAAACAGACTACTCGTGAAAAGGGCTTCGATCCTCCCATTTGACTCCACCACCTGCGTTCACTAATTAAATGGTTAGCTCCCCTAGTTTTAAAAAAAAATATTGCCATAATTGATATCTCGAGTCGTATTAGAATGCCTGCCTGCATATAACAATTACGAAGGCAGCGAGCATATAAGGCATTTCCCTTCTTTTCGAGGACTTCGTTGGAACATGTTTCTCAACGATAGTTATAGAGCGAGAACAAAACGACGACACAGAGACAAGAAGGACACGAAAGACCTTCTTGTCTCTGTGTTCTCGTTTTGTTCTCGCACTATAACTATCGTCATGCCATACCAACTAGCCCAAGCTGCCACACTTCTATGTTTCTCGAGGCATTCTGCATACACCCGTGTAAGCTCCCCAACAGTCCGTTATGAATGCCACCGCCGTGGCGCGCTCATAATAATTTAAAGATTATTTACTAAATGACTTAAAATTTATTCACTTTTCCTGGTTTCTTAATGCGCAGCTGTACCTACAAGCACGATTGTTGCCTTCATTTCGTGCATTTCGCCTTCTTGCAAACGCGGCCGCCTGCCGCGACTTCGTACGTCGCTTGCATGTGATTACGTCATAGCCATTACGGCGGTTGTTTTACGTGTCTGAGAGTGCTGCCGCTCGTCGGAAGGCATGCGACGACGAACGGGCCTAAACTATTGCGCCGGCCATCAACTGCAAAGCAAAATGTACTACAGAGGCTGTCTTTTCCGCATACACACTCTTGCTGCAGTGAAGCCAGCTTTCGAGGCATTCTACAATTACGCACAGACGAAAATGACGTTCACAGACATTGTTCTGGATGAACACCTTATATGACCTATGCTGCATAATACACTCATTTATTTTCCGGCAAAATGCCGTTTGAATTAAGATGTTTGGCACTGGTTTCCACTGGTGGCTGTCTTCACTATGGAGTTAGTCTAGCAGATGCGCAATTAGGTTTAGAAACCAGCCCAACACAGCCAGACAGAAGAGTGAGAGCAGAACATACTTTGCTCGCCTAACCGCTTGCACGCAAGAAGTAATTAGCACAAGGGGACGGAAACAGATGTTTTACAATACGAAGCATATGCGGCGAAATGAACTTTGAAGAGTTGGCTCATGACGCCGTCAAGCATGGACGGACGGACAGAAGCACGGACGGTCACTTCCCTCTACTCATCATTCATTCCATGGATATGGTGTGATTTTTTTTTTCGGTCAGAGCTACAGCGCCAAATTGTGGAGCTTAAAGGGACACTAAAGGCAAATGTTAAGTCGATGTCGATTGGTGAAATAGTGGTTCAGAAACCTCGTAGTGCTGCTTTTGTGCCAAGGAAGTGCTTATTTTAAAATGAAATCTCATTTTAGTGGACCGCATCCCGTTAGTACACTTCAAGATTACCCGCCTCAAATGGAAACTTTCATGTCACTGTTGCCGTGCACAACGATGCCCGGCTTTACTGCGCAGCTGTATATAGTAGCAGCAGAGCGAAAGTAGCAAGAGCCACAGCACCTACAATGACCATTGAACAATTTCCTGCCATGGCCTCCAAAATAACAGGCAAGCTTGGTTCAACAGGGCCCCGCTACATGGCACGAGCTGTCCAGTTTTTTTTTTTAACCACTCTCACAATTCCCCATAGTAATGTACGGCAGTTATTTTTTCAGAGAAGCAAACAGAAACAAACAAGCATATTATTACGTTTTTTGATGCACGGACCGTTCTTTAATTAGTGTGGCTAGTTCGATTACTAGTGATTGATTGTAGGCAATATCACTGACATAATCGGAATCATTTTGCAAATGTCCTACTCTCGAGGCATATGTTCTCAAGCATTTACATCAATTTCTTGGTAAGTGAGGCACTGCTGTGATAATATTGTCATTTTAGATGTTGTTATACATCGAGCTTTCACTGTGACATAAATTATATGAGTTTAGTGTCCCTTAAAAACTTCACCTGTAGAGGTGAATATGAATAGGATGGGCCCCTCTAGAATATGATCATATACAATAACTAAAAGGTACCATGCCTCCAGGACACCCAATTATCGCTGGAAAGAAACTTAATTCCTTGGCAGACGCTAACCATAATAACCATTACGGCGGTCCAAAGGGCTAGTGTTTGCTTAAAATGACTTTCACATCTTGGTGGCATGGTAACTGCTTCAACTGTTCCCAACTCTTTCAGTAATGAACAGCTTTGACAGAGTGTTCTAGTTGAACACTAGCCTGGTGGCATGCTGCGACTTTCATTTCACAATCAAAAATGTGTAATGGAGCCCGACTCTTTACTACGATTCTCCTAACTAAATGTCACAGATAATTACAAAAAAAGATAGCAAAATACTGGGGGCTTCATGCAAACAGCACTTACACACTTCATGTTGATGTTCATTCATTTTTCGTGCTACTTACAAATTATTTGTTCATTCATTACATTTACGAAAGTTATCAAATAAGCTGCCGATGCAAAAGTATTTGAGAGACCCTGGTAGTTGGTTAGTTCATTTCCAAGTACTGTCTCAGCAAGTTCATCAAATAAATTCGACTGCATATCACAGTATTAACCACTGTTTATTCACAATTACTTGCAAAACATCACTTTCATCAGGAAGCTACATCGAGACAATGAACATATTAGATAGGCACATTCGCTCGCTAGGCACACTAAGTCATCTAACAGGATACCTCGGAAAACTTTCTGTACGTCTACATACCTTAAGGAAAGTATGTCTATACCAGCACAATGGGAACAAGATAAACCTTAATGACACAGTATCAACCAGAAAATATATAAACTTTTTTTGCTCATAGATACGAGATAGAAATTTTATTTCACAGAACCGTAACATTTCATTGCTCACAAAAAAAAGAATTTCTGCAACAAATCGACGTGTCACTACCAAAATTAATGTCAATAAGCTCAAGGAAACGAGTGGCACAAAAAAAGGTGATTTTAACGAACAAAACAAACAGCACCAGGTATACAATGTTGACTATGCACAAATACTTATAAGGTTAACCACAGTACATGAGTTAACTGCACCAGAATGAAGCCAAATGATGCAGCATATATTCCGACGATAAACCAAGCCAACAAACATAATAGCCGGCAATGCAATAATTAATTTACCGGCATAAAGAATGCTGAATCTCCCTTGTGGTGCAGTGCTCCTTATCTGAACTGTATCACCTTTAACTGTATCACCTTTATCTAGTCGAAGCAGCCCCTCCAAGTAACTACGCTCAAAGAGATCGTGCAATCTCTTCAGCTAGAAATACCGTTTTATGTAAGTTGATAGCACAAATACTATGCTGCACAATGTGCCCACTGGGACTACAATAATAATCTTATACGACTGATGAGTTACCTAAAGGTCCAGTATATGTCATCGGGCACAAGGCAGTACACAAAAACATGCACCAAAAACATAGATTTCAACATATGCAGAACTGAACCAAGTCTGTACAGTGAAAGCCCTGCAGTGCTTGCATACCCCAGCACTTGGCAAAAGTCGATACACCGCGGCAACAAGAAGGAACAGGCCACAGACCGGAACAGTGCATGTGCTGCAGCAGGTAATGTGCAAAAACACACCTTCACCGGCTATGTTGCCTTTTCCTTCTTATACTAAACTCTTTACAGCATCACTGAAGTCTAGCACAATGAATTATTAGTTTGGACAACCATACTAACTCAGCTGCCGATGCAACTAGCAAAAGCAAAGCTAAACTTGTGCCTCCACTCCAAAAGGAGATCAAAAGGGCGAAATAATGTGCAAGGACAAAAAACAAACTGCTAAAACAGTTCGAGCAGCAAGCAAAGCAAGATGTGTAAGCAATCACCCTGAATGAAGGTGCCAAACTGCTACATGGCTACAAAATTACCTGTTCTACTCTACATTTTACAGCATTATAGCAAAGCAGCTTCTTGTAGTTGTTTTAGTAAAGAAAGACTGCCAGTTTTACAGTGAAAAAGCAGTAAAAAAAAGAAAAAGAAAGAAAAAATAACAATGAAACTCGGCAGCTTCTCAAACAAAAGGAAAAAAAATGAACGAGATTATATTCGTAGAAATGTACTTGCAAAAATGCTATGTATATATATGCAACAACAACAAACCAAAAAAAACTTACCCTAAAAAAGCTGTACAATAAGCATGCACAATACAATATAGGTTCATAAAAATTACAAAAAAAGGGCGAACATATAATTTGAAAGCCATATTAACCTTATCTCTTAGCTTTAAGAAATAGCATTCACATCTAATTACAACAAAACGAAAAGACTGCAGCTCATATGCACTGAACCGCATTTGTCTTTTCCATTCAATGGCACAAAAACTCTAAACAGCTTTACCATGATGAACTGAAGAAGAATTGGTAAAATATTTCTGCAAGCAGCAAGTTCATGCGTCACAAGACGTAGACACACCCTCGGTCATATATTTTTTCTTTCTCATCTAATCAGTGCATGTTCACTCACCGTGCATTTACTCACCAGTGCATTAAATTCACCTCCACTGGTAGCATCTGCTTACCTCAATTTACCCATCTCTGCTGACAGTGCTGAAAAAAGGCATGAACTGGTAACAATGGTGTAGGCCTTTGAACATTTCACCATTAAGAGTATTCGCCACAACCTGCCTTCCGTAACGGCTATGAATGGCTAATTCAATGGACATGCATCGTGCTAAGAGCATGAGCGATAAAACAGAGCAAGACATTGTAATGCACTTGCTTGAGCTCACAGAAGACAATGCACACAACCATTGGCAAAGTAAGCAACAAACACATCTATCAAGCAAATAAAGAATCACGATTGAAGTAATACTATTCCTCCACGGGTGATTCACTCCTGATCCCTGAGCCTGTTCTCCACCATTCGACAACACGATCAAAGTATATAAGAATCATGATGTTAGTGCAATAAATGGACAGAAAAGGAGAAATAAAGTGATCAGGGCACCCGAATCGCATAAGGATCATTCGATTGTTTTTCTGTATTGTTAATTAAAGCATGCTTCACAATAGGAACAAGTATTATGCTATAGTCGCCCAATTCACGTGCTATGTGACGCCACACAGGCTCATGAAGAGTGTACCACACTCGCCGCCATGGCTACAGATGGCGTCCTACGTTTGAATTCACATATATACCCAATAAAGTGGCTGTGGGGATAGCCGCCGTGGTAGCTCACGTTTATCGTGCAATTGGGAGAACATCAGGCCTACACTATTTCCTTGTCAAAAACAAAACTTCCTTTTAATCAATCGCACACGAATGGTAACGACATCGCATACAAGGAAAGTTATCACCACGTGACGGCGCCATGAAAAACGGTCCCTTAACGACCACCTTCTTGAATAATTGAACGGTATATACGTAATGACTGTGTGGTCAGTGCATTCACAATCCTGCGTTCTGAGAGTTTACGGGTGCGTCTAGTTTTGTACTTGCAACAAAACGACACTATCTCGCTAGTTGACGTCGTTTTGGGTGGTTTCATGACGCTACCTAGCTTAAGATAACATAACCAGGCTGGCTAGAGAGCCGTCAATCGAACGAGGAGAAGAAGCGATCACGTGTACAAAGTACTATCACGACAGCAGTGGCGGTCCGTTCTTCGGTGCTGGCTGTAAGGGTACTGTTGCTGAATGGCATAAGGAGCATTCGATTGGTTTTCTGTATTGCTAATTAAAGCATGCTTCACAATAGGAGCAAGTATTATGCTATAGTTGCAAAATGTTCTCTTATCTTTCACCTTAAAACTTCCCCGAGTGCCTTGTTTAGGTAAGCATTACGTGATCATGCAACATCGACCGCACAAATAATATCGCAAACATCGAGAAGAACAAAATCCGCAGTTTCACCAACACTGCGATTCTCTCGAGCAGGCTACATACCAGCTGCCTTTGACACTGCCTCTCGGCCCGCTGATAACCCAACAGGAAGTTAATAACACACTAGAACTACATTAAAATTGTACTATGGCTGTGTTATATCAGTAATAAACTTGAAGACTCTTGTGAAAGGTCTAACATATGGCACTATGCGTGGCACCAAGCTCACAATAACAAGAGACTAGAACAGGCTGTTCTACGAGTGATCTTGCAAAATCAACACGGCTTTAACTTTTGTACATCTTGCTTTAAAGATACAGCATGCCAAGGCGACAATTTTGTAGCAAAGCCTGTCTCACACACATACTAAGGGAGCCTCCTATTTACATTTAACTGCCAGAAAAACAGACATCATTGGCAATGCTATGTTCCTTTATGATTAGCATGACACTCCACTTGAGAAAAAGCTAAATACAATTTTCCTTACAGTCTAACCATCGATAATTTCCATGCTAATAAAGTCAGCAACAGTTGTTATTTCGGTTCTCCCAAGAACCAGATAACACAACATATTGAGGCCATAACTGGCGACAGCAGCACAGCTATTCTCTGAGGATGAAAATGCACTTCTTATAATGATGATGTGCTATCTTATTGATTAACATACAATGTGTATGCAAGAAAATCACATACAAAAGCCACAGTGCTACTGGAAATCACCAAAAGCGGAGCACTTCTTTTCTTGAATCTTTTACCTTTTCTGCCACAGCACTAACATGAGCGATATCCTCACGAGCATTGTTTTTGTGCACGTCTGCTACATCCCTCTCTTTTTTACCTAATGAATACACTTCCTTCGTTCAACTACTGCCACAAAGTTAAGGCATGTTCGCTTTGTTTATATGCAATCCTTGCTTTGTACATTTACATACTTTGATTCTACAGGTCAGAAAGCTTCACCTGCTCTATAATTTGGCCTTGATGTTCTGCCCATCAGAGTAAAGAGAAGTAAACTGCACAGAATTAACTGTGTTGAATGCAAGGGAGTCCCCAATGAAAATGCAGCCAGTGTTGAGTGAACTGAGCTAGACACTGCTGCACCACACGACACAAATAAGACAAGGAACTTAGCTGTGGGGTGTGTGGCACTCATGGGGGAGTGCTCCACGACGCGGGTAGAAGGTGTGCCGCAAGGAGTAGTTGAGCAGGTTGGTGACATGTGACATGTAGATGTCCGAGTAGCGGAATAGACGTCGGGAGAAGTAGGTTGGGTTGTGATGCGTGCGGAAAATGCTCCCGAAGTTGGCATTGAAGAGAGACTTGGTGGTTTTCCTGTTTTAATAACATGCGGGAGAAAGAAGAAGAAAAAAAGAGAGACATGTAATCATAAAAACGCAGTTTTTCAATTGGCTCGGTGTAATTAAACTACAGGCTGTGTATTTCTATTGAAAGGTTAACGATGACACTACAGGTTTTCACTTAGGGCTGTAGCATTGAAGTTAGGTGGCTAGTTGTGGCTCCTGGAAGAACTCATGGATGCTTCAACATTTTTTCCTTCTGCTAGCACAAGATGTCACACTGAGATTTTGCTTGATTGGAAAAAATCTGACTAGCTTCCTTCAAGATTGTATTCCCGAATATTTCTTAGTGAAACTAAATAGGGTAAAGATTCTTTAATATGAACTCTAAGGGGGCTATAATATTGTTTGAATTAAATAGAGTTTGAAATGGTGGTAAAGCCCTAAAATTAATGGACATTGCACTATGCTGCATGAGCGGAACGGAAAGAAGCCACCTCTGGACTCGTTTTATTACTACATGTTTGTCACAGGTGATTTCTTCAGTTAAGTTTATAGAGCTCTAAGAGCAAATAAAATTAATGAATCAGCCAGTAACACAAGAGAAACAAGCATCGACATGCATTCGTGAGAGCGGGAAGTCCTTATTTATGCTGCAAAACGTGATTATTTTCATGGCAGAGTTAATGCAATCAAAATAAAAAGTAACTAATCAGTATTTTGCATTTGCTCAAGCTTCTTTCATCTCGACTTTATAAGACGTTGTTTGTAGTTTGTCCACGCGCCCCAGCACAACGTTCTAATTCTCCTCTGCTGAGAAATTCTGCTGTTTCGTTCATTTGTAGCTCTAGTAAATCTAGTTTGGTTTGGTTTTCCAACATACTGTGATTATTCTGGGTCTAGTACATGGGAAACAATGAAGATGAAAAGTTTTCAGTTCAAATTAATGGTTATGAATACCGATGCTTTCTAATTATGGGAGTTTTCCCCCAAAGAAATAAATACACACAGCTGTGTTGGGACCACAGTGCCAATTCTAATTAGCAACCAGTTTGAATAAACAGAGTTCAAATTAACCAGCTCTTACTGCATAAGACTTGCAAGACACTGTAAAATCTGCTTACCTTAGCTGATCACGCTCCTGCAGGAGTTGTTCGATGAAGTCCTCAATGTCCTCATGGTCCTGAATTTAATCACAAAAGCAGTTACACTTGTGTAATGGGACAAAAGAGCATTACATAACACAGACCCTAACAGAAGATTCACCGAAAAGCGTCGGCTCTAATGTGACACCAGCCTTAGGCTTTTTAATGTGAGCTCCCCCTGTCACCCACATCACCAAAGCAGAAGATTGGAGTGCTGTCTTTTGCTATACTTGCTATGCTAAGGTATGGCGATATTTGTCTTATACAGTTAAAACTTGATTTTATAAAATTGAAGGTACCCGCAAATTATTTCATGAAATCAGGAAGCAAAATAGACTACGGGGCAACTGCAGAGGGAAGAATCTGAATTTGTTTGTTCAGTCAGGGTACCTGTAAAATTGGGTTTTGGTAAATCAAGCTTCAACTGAACAGAATTTCACCTTTCACCTTTTGCAAAATGCAGACGTAATATTTGTTGCCTCTCTTTTTTACTATACGATGTCAAACCTCTCTGTGGTAACAAATATGTATATAATGATTATTAAAATATTTTGACGAAACCTAAAAGATATCAAAGCAATGTCAGTGTAAAACAAACACATTCCTGAAATGTATATAGACATAACAAAGGAGTACCACATGAGATGAGGAAAACGTTATCGCAAGATGAGACTGCAACATGCATTAACATCTCCCATGACCAATTAACAACACACCCAATGTTGACGATGTCTTTAGGCACGATGACTAACTTCCCCACAACACAGTGAAAATTGGAGGCAATAGGCATGTGGTATACATGATAAATATTAGGCATGCTTTCGTTAGCAGGATGCAGTGGCCATACACACCATCACCATTTTATCAAGCTGAGCACGGTTGATGAGCAAGCTAACAGGTGTTCTACCCATGACCAGAGGAGTTTGGAAGTGTCAACTCGGAGAGCTTCTGCATACCTAGAATGTGGGCTCATGGAACCCACATTTGCCCTGCGTTGCAGAGTTACAGCGAGAGCAGGCTGCTTGGAACTCACACAGAGGTTCACGAGGATGGCATAGTGGGTTAGTTGGTACTGCAGCTTAGAAGTGGTTCAGCCCACGCAGTTCGGGACAAAGTAAAGAAAGCGTGAAAAATAGAAAGTTAAGTGCTGTGCCTTTTTTTACCTTCACATTGCTCCCACCTGCGTGCGTTGTAACGTTTCTAATATAATGCGAAGAAAGGCAGATATTCCAGTTTTCTTAGGTCTGAGTTCGTTTCAAATAACCTCAAAAAAAGTGAGAAGCAACTTGATGTATTCACTTCTTCACTCACTATACATCACCACAGCAATGTGCAGGCGAATGTTCGAGGTCACTGAGTGAGACGTGTTCGTGACTGCCTGCGTGCATCCAGACATCAGGCATGTTCAACTAGTACGCGAATGTTTATTCCACCTATCCAAGCTGTTGTTCTTGGTTTACACGTTTACCCTCCACAATGATTCATCGCATCATAACACGTGACAGCACTGATTTCGGGCAGGGCGTGTGTGCCTGCAGTTAAAGTCTAGTTTGATGAGAAATTGGAATGAAGCTAAATGTTTGGTATAACTATTGTTACTGCATATCCAACTAGCCCAACTTTCAATTCTGTTGAAGCTAAATGCTACAAAAGAAGTCGCAGCAAGAGAGCAGGCATACCTAATGTGAAGGAAAGCACAAACAACCAGTGTAGCAATGTGTCCATACATTTTGTTCACATGGTGACAGTATGGCCCACAATTACTACATTGACGCGTGCAACTGATAGTGACTGACACATGACAGCACATGACCACTATATCAGATTTCCTGGATGCAAAAAGGTAGCTAGCACGATACACTGTAGATCTGGTTTAAGTAACACAGCTTGCTTTGAAGCTTCAACAGTGCGTAAGTTATTCTCTGGTCGGGACTACTTTATAAGCCAGAGTTCTCACTTCTGCATAACTTTTTTCTGACAACTGATGCCTTTGCTGTGCTAAGTGCAACAATTTGAATATAATAATGCACTGCTGTTGCTTAAAATATAAATCACAAAAAATATCTCTAAAGCAAACTTCGTGCAACACCTCCTCTACAAAACAAAGAAAAATAGAGTGGAAGCTTGGGCTAGTTGGTGCGTATTCATATTTGCAAGGTGTTTCAGCGCGCGAACAAAGGAAAAAAGGACAGGGTAGACAGAAAGAGCGCTCTTTCTGTCTACCCTGTCCTTTTTTCCTTTGTTCGCGCGCTGAAACACCTTGCAAATATGAAAGAAAAATAGCCTGAGTGCAAAACTTCATCAGCAGGAAAGCCTCAGACTTGCTTTGTCTGTATACACAACCGATACAGACTGTTTAAGACACTGGTGGAAACTTACCTGCATCTCTTCAATCAAGTGCTGCAGAGACTGAAGCCAGCTGACAGTGTGTCTAAATTCTTCAGAGTTCAAGATTTTAATTTCGTTCTACAGAACAAAAATAAAATAGAACATGAGCATGTTCTTGCCTAGCAAGTTCCTGCTTTAGTGTTTGTGTTTTAAGGCCATGTTCAGTAGAAAAAAATAACTGTCCTGGCCCCATCACTGTGACATTCTCTCTGGCAAGTTATTCCAAGAAAATGTCCACAAATTCGCATTTCATTTTAACTAGTCAAAATTTTGTTACAATGTCCGCTGTGAAAAATACATACGTACAAGGATATCTGTATAGAACAGAACAAGAAAACTCATGGGAGAAGCATTTTTATCAGTTATGTACCATTTAAATGTGTGAAGTTTGAACAGTACTATTTAAATGTACTATTTGAATTTAATTGACTTTATTTCTTCTGTTTACAACAGAAAGGAAGCAGAAGCTAAAGGCTATGTGGTCTGACAAAGGCTTCTGCTCCTACAACAGTTCAGCATGCAGGCCGTACATAGCAGCACAAGCCAATATAATATATACTGTACATACATATTCAACTGAATAGTCACAAAAATAAAACTACATGTGTACAAAAAAATGCTACATAATACACTGATAGGTCATTTTACCCTAGTCAACAACTTGAATTTGCAATGAAGACATGGAAGTTGAAAATACACACAGTAGCTTTGTCAAACAAACTCAATATTGTGTGAAATGAGCAGTGTTTTTAATGATTCATTTGACACTTCCATAACTTCGTTGTGAAATTCGTGTATTCTATCGAGTAGTGAAGGTGCTTGGAAACTTTGCAACTGTTTCCCGTAATTCATTCTTATTTTTGGTGTTCTCAAATATGTAGTGTTGCTGAAAGTTGTTGCGTGGTTGGTGGGTGTGTCCGTGATGTAAATTGTCCCGTTTTGTTTGATATGTTGCATTAACTTGTAATAGTACATCGTAATTGTACATTGTAATAGTACATAAAAACAGGCTGCGTTCTTAAGTTCTGTAAAGGTCTATGATAACCCTCGAATTCCCGTAGGACTCCTTTTTGCAGTACAATCAGCTGCTTATAATTTTTAAATTTGTGAGAAATGGCAATGTCGTAAATTTAAATAAGATGGGAAATCGGTTCTGAAGATTCTTGTAAAGTGCAAGAGCATTCATACAATGAAAAATTTGTTATAGTACCGTCTTTAGCACAGTGAAAAAAAATATACTATACCTGTGACAATTTGTATCGATTTCTCAAGTGGTGCCGCGCTCCGCATGAGTAGACCACCGTTTCTCGCTTTCAAACTAAATAGTTGTCAGTGAGAGCGGCAACATTAATGTGACAGCAGACACTTACTGCCAGCTCCCATATGATGGCTCCTGTTCTCCAACCATAATTGAGCGTCAGGTCAGCGAGGTCGCTGTAAATCTGGTCCCCAAAGTACAGCACACTGTTGCCACACCAACCAGTCATGGCCTGCAGCTGAGTGACTGTGCCCTGGATGAGGAACAAGATAATCATTATCATCATCAGCAGCCTGACTTCACCTGCTACAAGTGTTTCACTTACATGTTTCACTAATTAACCGCTTGAAGTGGCCATGTTATCCCCACCAATTTCTTAATCTCATCTGCCCACCAAACCGCTGCCATCCCATCACATGCTTTCTTTCTTTTGGAATTCAGTATGCTACCCTTAATGACCAGCAATCACCTAGCATTCTCGCTACATGCCTTGCCTTTCTTCTTGATTTCGACTAAGATGTCCTTACCACCCATTTTTTCTCTGACTTACTATGCTCTCTTTTTACAACTATCATTTTTTTTTCCATGGCTAACTGCACCATCCTCAATTCAAGTTGAGGAACAAGATTTGTAGCAAGAAATGTGACACGAGTCAGAACAAAGTGCACTACGTATCTATGTGTTTATGAAAGATCTAGTCGGTTCTGTCAACACATCAAACAGCAGCAGTATTACAACAAGAATTAAAAAAACTAATAAATAAAGTGAAGAAGAGCCTAGGACTCAATGGTGCTGTTCAGTCAACTCAACATCATGTTTAACTTCCCTTCACAGTATGAGAGTTCCTCAAACCCTTTCTGCTGGCAAATTTGTGTTCGCGTGCATTTTAAATGTGTTGTACAAACCACAAATCTCAGACAAAGCATATGTACAGCTAGAACGACGCCACTTCAGTGAAGAAATCGCAAGCCACACTGCATGTAGAGCACATGTCGAGCTAGAACGACACCACTTCAGCAAAGAAAATGCAAGCCACAGTGTGTGTGTGTGCAGCAAAATTGCATGTCTCATAGGTGTGGTGCATATAGTGAGCCTGACATAAGATCAGTGTTGATGTGTAATGTGCAAGTGAGCAAGCTAATGAACTCGCAGAAAGTGGCTTTGGCGTAGTATAGCTCAAATTTTTTCCCCTGAGAATGTGTGATCATTGATTAGATCTTGTGTACAACAGCTTGGATGCAAATGAACCTCAGTGCTATTGTTGCAATGTATCAAAGCTGGCAAAGCAGCAGCAGTGACAACAGAAATGGTGCTGCCAACATGAGAAGGATGATGTGGTTTATGGCACAAGCTTTCCATCCAGCCCCTTGAAATACATAAACCCACTTTGCCCAGCACCTTCACCACTCAATTCTGTAAAAGGAACTTGAAGGAGCCATATTAAAAGAACAAGGGTGCAATGAAGCAAACAATTATAAAGTGTTCCCGACCAATGTCAACATATAACGTATGTGCTTTTGCCGCACATGAGATCATATAATGATTGTATTTTCGTGCTGGAGGTAACCGCTACAAGTGCTTTCAGCATTTGTTCACATTCATGTCTTATCATAAGACGCTTCAGGGTTGAATCAAGGTGTGCCAGGAAAGCAAACAAGATCAACACATTCCTTTTAACATTGCTGCTTGAAGTCAGAAACCAGGCACAGTATCCAGGGGCAAAAAAAAAGAAAAAAGGATAACTTCCATCAACATTTCATTCTCAGAAAACAATCAACGTTAGACATCCCAGACGTTACATCATGAGATACTTGCCCGGCAGAAGGATAAAAAATAAGCATTGCTATTAGTATATTAAAGAAGCACTGACACAAAAATTTTATATCCTGTTCTTTTTGTTGCAATAAGTAGCTAATGAGCCAGCTAGAAACCTTGTTTGCTTGAGTTCTTTATGCCGAGACGTTTTTACAGTGCGCAGATGTAGTTTCAGTTGAAGAGGGCACCGAGTGATGCTGGACCCAGAGTGGTTTCCGTGTAAACATAGCTTGCTACATAGCAACACAAAACCACTTGCACGTCAGCATCCAGTTCCAGTTGACAAATTTTTTCAATGAAGGCACCGTGGGCGTTCCTATACTAGGATGCTGTAAACAGTGAGCGTAACCCACAAATATGCATTGCCAAAGCAAGGATGCCAGTCTTTGTAGTACTACAGTGCAAGAAGGGACTCCCTCTTTCTGCTGAGAAAGTCTGCTAAGAAAGAGTGCTTGCAAAAAAAATAGCAGCCAACATAAATTCATGCTGCAGGTGGTTGTTGGTTGTTTACGTTACAAAGAATCTGTTGCCAATGTCATGAGACGAGGAATTTCATGCAGCTGCACGATGCACACTTCAGGATTGATTTTAAATATATGCTAGGCTATCATCATCATCATCATCAGCCTGGCTACGTCCACTGCAGGACAAAGGCCTCTCCCATGTTCCGCCAGATAACCCGGTCCTGTGCTTGCTGCAGCCAATTTATACCCGCAAACTTCTTAATTTCATCTGCCCACCTAACTTTCCGTCTCCCCCTAACCTGCTTTCCTTCTCTGGGAATCCAGTTAGTTACTCTTAATGACCAGCGGTTATCCTGGCTACGCGCTACATGCCCGGCCCATGTCCATTTCCTCTTCTTTATTTCAACTATTATATCCTTGACCCCCGTTTGTCCCCTAATCCACTCTGCTCTCTTCTTGTCTCTTAAGGTTACACCTGCCATTTTTTTTTCCATTGCTCGCTGCGTCGTCCTCAATTTAAGCTGAACCCTCTTTGTAAGTCTCCAGGTTTCTGCTCCGTAGCTAAGTACCGGCAAGATACAGCTGTTATATACCTTCCTCTTAAGGGATAATGGCAATCTACCTGTCATAATTTGAGAGAGCTTGCCGAATGTGCTCCACCCCATTCTTATTCTTCTGGTTACTTCAATCTCGTGGTTCGGCTCCGCGGTCATTACCTGTCCTAATAAGACATAGTCTTGAAGTGCACTATTACCTATCTCGAAGCGCTGTTCTCTTCCGAGATTGTTGTACATTACTTTAGTTTTCTGCAGATTAATTTTAAGACCCACCTTTCTGCTCTCCTTGTGTAACTCCATAATCATGAGTTGCAATTCGTCCCCTGAGTTACTCAGCAATGCAATGTCATCGGCGAAGCGCAGGTTACTAAGGTATTCTCCATTAACTCTTATCCCTAACTGTTCCCATTTTAGGCTTCTAAAAACCTCCTGTAAGCACGCGGTAAATAGCATTGGGGAGATTGTGTCCCCCTGCCTTACACCCTTCTTGATTGGTATTCTGTTGCTTTATTTATGAAGCACTATGGTAGCAGTTGATCCCCTGTAGATTTCTTCCAGGATGTTTATATATACTTCATCTACGCCCTGATTCCGCAGTGTCTGCATGACGGCTGATATTTCTACTGAATCAAATGCCTTCTCGTAATCTATGAAGGCTATGTATAGTGGTTGGTTATACTCTGAGCATTTCTCTATTACCTGATTGATAGTATGAATGTGGTCAATTGTTGAGTAGCCTGTTCAAAATCCTGCTTGTTCCTTTGGTTGATTGAATTCTAATGTTTTCTTTACTCTGTTAGCAATTACCTTTGTAAATAGCTTGTACACTACAGAGAGCAAGCTGATTGGCCTGTAATTCTTCAAGTCCTTGTCATCTCCTTTCTTATGTATTAAGATGATGTTAGCGTTCTTCCAAGACTCTGGTACCCTTCCCGTCAGGAGACACCTCATAAACAGGGTGGCTAGTTTTTCCAACACAATCTGTCCTCCATCTTTCAGCAGATCTGATGTTACCTGATCCTCACCAGCAGTTTTGGCTCTTTGCATGCTCTCCAAAGCTTTGCTGACTTCTATCATTACTGGTGGGGTGTCATCTGGGTTACTGCTAGTTCTTATAGTATTAAGGTCGTGGTTGTCTCGGCTACTGTACAGATCTCTGTGAAACTCCTCCGCTATTTTAACTATCCTATCCATATTGGTAGTTATTTTGCCTTCTTTGTCCCTTAGTGCATACATCCGACTTTTGCCTATCCCAAGTTTCCTCTTCACTGCTTTGAAGCTTCCTCCGTTTTTCAGAGCGTGTTCAATTCTCTCCATGTTATACCTTCTTACATCGCATACTTTACGTCTATTAATCAACTTCGAAAGCTCTGCCAGTTCTATTTCGTCTGTTGTACTTGACACTTTCATGATTTGACGCTTCTTAATTAGGTTCTTCGTTTCCTGGGAAAGCTTGCCAGTGTCTTGTCTAACTACCCTGCCTCCAACTTCCACTGCACACTCCGTAATGATACTCGTCAGATTATCATTCATTGTATCTACGCTAAGGTTGGTTTCCTCACTAAGAGCCGAGTACCTGTTCTGCAGCGACACTCTGAATTCCTGTACTTTCCCTCTCAGTGCTAGCTCATTGATTGCCTTCTTGCGTATCAGTTTCTGTCGTTCCTTCTTCAAGTCTAGGCGAATTCAAGACCGTACCATTCTATGGTCACTGCATCGTACCTTGCCAACCACTTCCACATCCTGCACGATTCCTGGGTGTGCTAGGCTATATTCGATGTTTATACTTTGCAGATGGTGTACACATGTCCACACAAGCATACACAACAAGTTATCTTGCACTGAAAATTTTGTGTGAGTAGGTACTCTTTTATTGCGTTATCCTTTTGATTGAACATGTGACGCGTGAAGACCAGTGTCAATTAATATTGGGAAGAAAAAGTTGCCGGATCTCGTGATGTCTGAATGTCCCATAACTGCTCTATGTCAGTAAGCTCCTTTTTCATCACCGAATGCTTTTGTAGTGATCCACTAACAAGACCAAATTACAATGTTCATTAGAAGTCACAGCAAGTGCACAAACCTCAATGTAGACTTTGTTCTTCTCCAGTTTGGTGACGCGCTCCCAGAGCTGACTCTTCGTTTCAGGGTCATACACACGAAACGGTCTGCAAACAGGAGGCGCACGTGAAGAATGTATGCACTTGCACAAAGTGAAAGGTTGCATGAGAGCCAACTTGAGCTTACAGCATCCATGAATTGTGGTGGATGCACTGGTCTGATCGACTGACAAGAGTCCTTGTTTTAAACACATGGTCTTTAGCTCTCATTATTAGCATTTATGGGTTCTGCATTTCAGGTGAGCTGCGTGCTTCAGCACTTATTTGAACAGATAAAATCAAAGGGAAATACAAATAAGAACAGGCGAAACAGTGCTACTACCTTTACCTTATGGTATAATAGGTCATCGTAGTTTGATTACATGAACAATAAGTTACAGCAAATTATCTACAATCACTACAACTCAATGACTGCAGGAAACCAAGCCACATTTTTAAACATCTGAGAAGGACACAAAGTATAAAATGTTCGCCTCTTATTCAAATGAAGTGAATTTTTGGATTTTAAAGGTTAACGAGTATTTTGATGTTTTTTGTTGTTGTTGTTGTTGCTTGAGGATTCATCGCATAGATATTCAGGCTTCTTTCGAGAAGGCTGTTAGCTTGCCAACTCCTATTTTTTTCACAACCTTGCCTAGTATACATACTCTGCAAGGACATGGCTTGGCAGCAGGAACATTGTAAAAAAGAAATCATTTTGCTCACCGACACCTTATTGAAAAGGAAAATAGCACTACCTTACATCAGTGTGCAGATGTGAATGCACAAATGCAGTAACACTATAATTCTGAATAAATGGACACACACACTCTTTTACATAAGAAATACTATACACAAAGAGAAGGCGTAGCTTTTCCACTTGGATAAATTTTCGTATAGAGGGAGGCACACAACATCAGTTATTGCAGTAATTGAAATTTGAAGTTTATTTATGCAAGGTTAGCTCTGACAGTGGGGGAGAGTTGGGAGGTCTGGCACAGTTGGAGGAATGGGACGGCACGTCTATCGCTCTTGCAGTTACTTCAAACATGTTAGCCAATGACTCATTTCAAATAGGTGCTTACTGAACGATTGCATAACTGTAATGGCGGGCGTCTTCGTTGAATGGAGATTTCTGTAACTGGAAGTCACCATTTTCACGTATAAAAAGTAAGTTTCTGCTATCACAATTGTGACGCTCTCATTTTCCAGCTTCATTCTGGATGCTAGAATCAATTTTTTCCCCCAAAACACACATCAGCGCTGCACTCTTTCAAAGAAAAAGTTCAGGCATTACAATTGAAATTTAGCTGCTGAATGTAGTTTTTTTCATAAGAGTAGTTTGGGAGGAATAAGTCAATTGAGTTGAGGGAGGTACACTGTCAGATTCCTATCCTATAAAAATAAAAGGTACAACAAACATCATTACACGCACATTGGGGAAGCAACAATTGAACAAGCATTCACGACAGTATTAAAAAAAGAGTGTAGCACAGTCAAGACTGCCGCCATAGACCATTAAAAAATAAATTGTGTTTGCTGAAGGACTGATGTTCTTCAAGAGTCTGACAAGGAAATGTCAGGTTTTGATAATGACTGGCAAGACATTTGTGAAATCAACTGGCTTAAACAAATATATTAAAGTGACATAAGGCCACGCTTTTCCTGTCAGATCTAGTAAAAAAAAACTTGGCATTTATTACACAGCTAGAAATTATAGCAGTCATAACGTGTCAAAGTGAGTGCACAGTTTGAGCAGAACAAAGAAAACAGCTCTTAGTTTTACTTTCTTCCTAAGAAAGATATGAGGACACTACCAATTATGAACATCACCATGAAGCTTCAAGTATTAAAAACTATCGGTGCAGCAAAATTTTTGCAGCCCCACTTAATGTTTAATGTTGAACTATTCACTTATAAGTGTGTACCCACTCGACAGACTAAATTCGTCTTTTCTGCAGTGGACAGCACATCACGACACTAGGCGTCACGGATTTTTTGTGCCATCCATGCCGGGTTGGTTTACCTCGAAATAGAAAAATGCCAAGCTATTTTTCACATGCGGATTCATGCAGACTAACACAGCAGATTTAGCCCAGGATGCCATTGTAGGTCTGGCAAAAGGCACAACTTTTTTCCTCACTCGTTTTTTTCGCTAGGCCTCTTGGACTTCTTAGCACTCAAGCTACCGCAAATCTTCGAGGCCGTGTTTTAGCAACACAGGCACTCGCTAAGCCTACCGCTCCGAGAAAATGAGTATGGCTCTCGAAAACGAGGCCAACTCATCATAAATATGTTGCCGGTGTTACGGGGGTTTATTGAGGTACACAGCGATCGGGAAGATAGCATCAGCAGCAGACAAAGCGATTGATTGATACGTGGAGTTTAACGTCCGAAAACCACCATATGATTATGAGAGACGCCATAGTGGAGGACTCCGGGAATTTCGACCACCTGGGGTTCTTTAACGTGCACCCAAATCTGAGCACACGGGCCTACAACATTTCCGCCTCCATCGGAAATGCAGCCGCCGCAGCCGGGATTCCATCCCACGACCTGCAGGTCCGCAGCCAAGTACCTTAGCCACTAGACCACCGCGGCGGGACAGCAGGAAAAGCGTAGCCAGGGAGCGAACAGCCGAGCGAGCCAGGAGATGACAATGCACTTCCGCATGTGTATCTTCTTCCTCACAATAACCCCCGGTATTGAGAGGTAGCTAACCTAGCGACCTAGAGAGAGGTCAGGGGGTCATAATACGGCTTGAGACGGTTAATGTGGACTGTTTGCCGCCCCCGGAGACGAAGGTCGGGAGATGGCGTAACGGGTTCAACCAGATAATTAACAGGAGAGGTCTGTGCAACCACGCGGTAGGGTCCGTGATACTTTGGAAGAAGCTTAGACGAAAGGCCGGGAGCAGCAACTGGCAGGACCCAAAGCCACACTTGAGAGTCGACAGTGAAAGGGTCAGGAGAGATGTCGGAGTTGTGACGCAGTTTTTGGCGACACTGTTGGTCGTAAGTGAAGGAACGGGCCAGTTGTCAGCATTTCTAGGCGTGGTGAGCCACCGCAGACATAGGCTGGCAGTTGTTAATGTCTGGATGATATGGTAGAATCGCATCAATGGTGCTAGTGGGTTCACAGCCCTATAGCAAGAAGAATGGTGAGAATCCGGTGGTAGCTTGGGAGGCGGTGTTGTAGGCGAATTTGACAAACGGAAGAACAAGATACCAATTTCAGTGGTCTGACGCAACGTACATCGACAACATGTCCACCAGAGTTCGGTTAAATCGTTCCGTTAATCCGTTTGTCTGTGGGTGATATGCGGTAGCGGTGCGGTGAATAATTCTGCATTCGGATAGGAGTGATTGCAACACGTCTGAGAGAAATACATGGCCCGATCACTGAGCAGTTCACGAGGGGCGCCATGGCGGAGAACAAAGCTGCGTAGAATAAACAAGGAAACGTCTTTGACTGTTGCGGCAGGTAATGCAGCGGTTTCGACGTATCTTGTCAAGTGATCCACGGCGATGACAATCTAGCGGTTGCCAGCGCCAGTGCATGGGAGAGGCCCGTACAGAATCCCAACGCAATCAAATGAGTGGGCTGGGCGGGGAAGCGGCTGGAGAGGTGCTGTGGAGAGGTGCAAGACTGGTTTGCGTCGTTGGCAGGCGAGGCATGAGCAGACGTATTTGCAGACGAAGCTGTACGTTCCGCGCCAATAATAGCATAGGCGAATGCGCGTGTACGTCTTGAACACGCCACCGTGGCCACAATGAGGGTCATTGTGGAAAGCCGAGCACAGATCGCGACAAATATGGCGGGGCACGACCAATAACCATGTGCGGCCATCCTTGTGGTAGTTACGGCGGTATAAAAGACCATCGCGAATAGTGTAATGCTGCACCAGGCGGCGTAGGGCTCGTGGAGCCGGGGTGGTCAAAGGCTAGACAAAAAGTTTAAAATTGTGGCGATCCATGGGTCATTTCGTTCCTCCGAGGACATGTCCAAGATGTCAAGTGGTGAAATATCGTGACTGTGACTAGATGCGTTGGCGTCTGAAATGAGTGGGAAGCGTGACAGGGCATCAGCGTCAGTGTTGTTGGCCAGAACGATATACGACATGGATGTCGTATTCCTGGAGTCGGAGGGCCCACCGAGCGAGGCAACCTGACAGGTTCTTGAAGTCTGACAACCAACACAGAGCGTGGTGATCTGTTACGATGTCAAAACGACGACCGTAAATATAAGGGCGAAACTTCTGTAGAGCCAAAATGATGGCCAGGCACTCTTTTTTGGTTACGGTGTAATTGGTCTCGGGCTTTGTGAGTGCAGGGCTGGCGTACGCAACCACGTATTCGGCGTTGGCATCGTCACGTTGTGCGAGCACAGCACCAAGGTAGACACCACTAGCATCAGTGTGAATTTCTGTGTGTGCGCTCAGAGCAAAGTGACGCAAAATTGGTAGAGATATAAGCAGGCGTCGAAATGTCGTAAACGCATCGTCACAAGCTTCTGACCAAGTAAATAGTTTGTTGTCGCCTTGGAGGAGTGTATTGAGAGGTGCGATGACAGTAACAAAATTTCGAACGAAGCGACAAAAATAGGAACATAGGCCAATGAAGGTGCGCAGTGCTTTCAGATTAGTAGGCTTCGGGAACTCGGATACGATGTGAAGTTTAGCAGGATCAGGAAGAATGCCTTCTTTGGAGATGACGTAGCCTAGTATAGTTAGTTTTCTAGCGGCGAATAGGCACTTTTTCAAGTTAAGCTGGAGACCGGCATTTTGAACACAGGTCAAAACTTGATGCAACCATTGTAGATGGGTCGGGAAATCTGGCACAAAAACGACAATATCATCTAAATAGCAGAAGCAAGTGTGCCACTTAAAGCCGTGTAAGATGCCGTCCATCATGCGTTCAAAGGTGGCAGGCACGTTACAGAGACCGAATGGCATTACACTGAATTCGTACAATCCATCTGGTGTTACAAATGCGGTTTTCGAGTGATCAGTTTCAGCCATGGGCACTTGCCAGTAGCCAGAGTGGAGATCCAAGAAAGAAAAAAAACTCCATTCCTTGCAAGCAGTCGAATGCATCATCAATTCATGGCAACGGGTACACATCCTTTCGGGTAATCTTTTAAGCCAGCGGTAATCGACGCAAAATCGTATTGTGCCATCTTTCTTCCGAACACCGGCAAAGCTTTTAAGCGCAAACCTGATACAAGTGTCAGTCTTGAACCAACAGCCCATGCAACACACGATGAAGAGCTTAAAAATTCGAAGTGGGCAGCTCTCGCTGCAGACAGTGCCACCATGTTCTTTTAGGGGCGAAGCTCCTTAAGGTCGAGGCCTGTTCGTTCACGACATTGGCATGCACCGTATCAATGACGATGAAGATGATAGCATTGACGATCAAGGACAACGACTGGCTTGTGCAGTATATGATGTCGCGATATGCTCGATGATGCATTTCGCATGACTGGAAACAACCAACAACCACCAAGAAAATGTGCACAGACCTCGTCATTGCCAACTTCAGGGTAGATCTGATTTCACAAAGCAGTAATAATGAAGGCAAAGTGAAATTCACTACTCAACACAACATACCATTTATGACCAATACACCTTGTATATAACCATACCACTTTGTCACTCATTGACATGCGTGATTGGCCAATGCCACGGGTGATTTATGGTAACTCCGAACAATCCCACTGCTTCCCCCACTCATCATCATTCACTTCGTGGATATGCTATGTTAAGTATTTTGTGCTTTTTTTTCTCCGGTGCATTCGTCTTCTCGCTTTGTCTGCCTTCTGCATATGTTTTGCAGATGAAGGGGCGGCAGAACGATCGTCCGCCGAAGAGATTCCCATGAAACTGTCCGTCCAAAAATACACGCTAATCGTTGCTGAAAACACTTGAGCCGTTGTCCTACATACATCCCACTCCTCCAAAGTGATGTCCCAATCCACCTAAAGAGGCAGGTTGAATGGGACAAAATTTAGCCACCAGAAACTGTTTTTTTACAGTTCTCGCATTAAAATTCGATTGCAGGAACAGTTTTAAATGTCACATAGTTTAAAAAGAAAACACATGCCAATTTCCTAATGATTCATTTGCCAGACAGCTACACCAAAGTAAAGTTGCGATGCATAAGCATTCCAGTAGTTGTTGGAGAAGCAAAAATATGTACTAAGCCTTTGTACATATCAGTACAAAAACTTGGAAGAAACTCCGCAATAATCAATTGTGAAAGAGTTAATAGTGAAAGCGTGATATTTTTACGAAAGAGAAAATGAAAAAAAAAACATGTCTTTTTAGTAATCACTGTGTGTGTGTGTGTGTGCGCGTGTGTGCACATGTGCATGTGTGTGTGTGTGTGTGTGTGTGTGTGTGTGTGTGTGTGTGTGTGTGTGTGTGTGGAGAGAGAAGGATAATTTTTAGTGGTGTACTTGCTTGTACAAACTCGACAGGTGATTTGTTTCTCGAGTTACGACTCACTCACATTTCTGCCGTGCAGCCGAGTGTAAATAGGCAGCAGTCGATTAGGAAGACTTTCATTTATTGTTTGCTACAGGTAATGACTTAATAAAACTTTTCTTTAAACAAGTAAAGAGGTTTTTAAATATTCTTTTGATAAAGCTGTCAAAGTATTCCTGCTGAACCATCCTTTGATGTCCATGTCATGCAATAAAAAAAAAATGAAGACTGATGTACTGCAATCGTCTAGTGGAAACCATGTGCAAAACTAGGCAAAAAAAAAAAGACTTGGATATCTTCAGAGAAACAAAAGCGTGCACAGCAAGCACTAGAGAGAAATATAAACAGGAAGCAGTAATCTCCGCATAATCTGATGAGAAGGAACATGTGCTATAAAAAATGATGACACTTTTCTTACGGTGTAAATACTGTGAAAGTTGTGAAACGCGTTTTTGCTGGGCACCGCTAAAATTAGCATGAAGTGTTGTTGGAAGACGCCAATAACGAAGGCCAAATATTCTAGTTACTGGCGAATGAGCACTCTGTAGGTTCATCAAAAGTCAGTGATTATCAGGAAACATAGCAAATTATGGCGTAAACCGCGTGCTCAAGTGTTTTTAGTAGCATGTAAGAGCGTTATACGAATTTGGTGGCTCCTGCAGACTGAATATTGCATTTGGCATGGGGGACAGACCTCTAATCAATACGGCATCATATACAAGCCTTCATACTAATGCTGAACTATAGGTATCAATATCCGTAGTACACTTCTAAATGTAGTGAACTCCTATTTGCATTCAGTAAAACATAGAGAGAGAAATACCTTCCATCAAGCAGCTCCTTTTACACTTAATACTAGAACACATTCACATGGACAATGGCAAACTGATACGCAGGTGCGAAATATTCTTTTAGTTTTGACAAAGATATGCACATAAAGCTACAGAAGATCTGCATGTTTAAACCATGATTTTTTTTCCATGCTTTCATTAAATTAAGCCTTTTGTTTGTAGTTTTTATGCGTATCATAACATCAGTGCTAACAAGCAGCTCTGCAGCTTTGGGTGTGTAGCTGTATAAAGAAGGCTGTGGCTCTATGAAGGTCATAAATTTGAAAAAGCATGTTGGCACACAGAATTTAGCGTGCCCGGGTAAATAGCTCTCATCGGGCAATACACTACATTTGTGAAAAACAGGAGAATCGAACATAGCTAGTCATACCTGTGTTGATCGGTGAAAAACTTTGGCTTTCTCGCCTGGACGATGACTACATCGAAGAGATCCTGCCATTCAGGACCAATCATGTATCGCATGCCAACATCCCTGCAGAGATGAGTAAAAACACAACTGACCTGAGTATGACGACATCAGCATAAAATGTTTAAACCTAGGTAGCACAAGCAGCTCCTGTGATAATGTAAAGTATGTACCTAGAATACAATAAATTTAAAAGAAAACTGCACGACCAACAGTCTATGAATGGGAAGCGAATTGTCTTACTTCACCTTCAACACAGGTTTTTGTACGTCACATCTTATATGTGCTCACTGCTAGTAGCAGTAATGTCTATTTACATGAACAGCCACAGCTGAAGGACGTTTAGCTACTCCATGACACGGGGTCTTTCTTTATAGTTTGTTTGAATTGCTTGTGGTGGTGCCATTGTAGTTTTTAAGCCTGTATAATCAAAGCAGTAGGCAACATTTGTACACACAGAAATGTCACAAGATGTAAAAGACTCATTAACTTTATAATTGACTAAAATCACAATTTATGAATTGTAGCCACTGAGTTCGCAAAAAATCAAGATTATGGTATGGTCTTTAAGGAGCTGCTTGTTGAAAAGCAAGGTGATTATCTTACATAATTACAAAATGCCCCTTTCTTGCACATTTTGCGATAATCATCTCGAAAGTGGCACCATTTTAAAAATTAGTTCTAAGCGAATACATCTTACTGAATTCTCCAGCTACAATGTGTAAATTCTCATGATCCTGCATAATGTAAGCATGAATTCGAAAGCTAAGCAGTTAATCTTTCATAATTAACAAATTAGAAATTACAATTTTCCATGCATGTAGTTTATATTACATTGAGCAACATCACTTTGAGCAATCAATCGTATCAGTTATGTAAGCCCCATATTGCAATTATTGTAAAAAATTAGGGATCCCGTAAAGCCTTCACCATGCCGTGAAGTCGACCAGGCAGATGAAACACTTTCACTTATCACTTCAGCTCAACAGTATCACACTGAAAATTAGTGCTTAACTCTTTCGTTACCACATAATAATGGCTATTTTTTGTATGTCTTGGGAAGATTGTTTTTGCCAGTTTGAAAAATACCCCAGGGCGCATTGCAGCATACAAAATTTTGCTAAATGTAATGATCTTTCCAAAAAATGTATCTTGTAGGATGCGGAAAATATTTTGGAATAAATGAAAATGTGAAAATTGTATAATTTATGGTTCCCAGCTGATAAACAGTGCAATAGAAGCAATATAAATGCAGAAGTATTCAAAGAAAATTCAAAATATACATTTTGAAGACAAATAATCCAGGAACAGTATAAAGATAATAAATGTTGTAGAAAATGTTTCTATTCACACGACAAAGAAAATCAGAACCGGGGTGCTGCCTCGTTACTCGTGCCATGCTCTGAAGCATTACTTGATTTTTCTGGGAAAACAAGCGAACTAGTACATTTATCTCAAAAATTTTCAGTTTTTTGTGATTAAAGCCCCCAAATGTTCAAATATAGATGGATACCCGTGACATGAATAATACTTCTATAAACCAAATGTCCAATGAACTTTGCTATTTCGTCTAGCGTAACCTCTTTCCATGAGCTACCTCACTCGGCATAGGTTGGCGTTCCTGTATATGCATGTAAGCATATTTCTTAGCATTTTGCCCATCGTATAAAAAAAGAACGATATAGTGTGAAATTCTAATACATTTCGCGCTGCTCTATAGTCAGGACCAAGATGTGCTCCGGTGGCCTCCTTGTCGTTAAGAGGAGCTCTGCATCCGGCGCCAGCACATCGTGCCTTGCCAGCACACCGTGCACCGTGAAGTGTGGACCTCACGCATAACCAGAGTAGCTATAAGATTGTGCACAAAAATCAGTAGCTATGCACTTGCATCTTTCTGTGCGTCGCCGCATCGCCAGCTTCTGTTTGATTCACGAATTTTTTCACAGTTCCCTCAATCAAGCACCTTACATCATCCCACAAGCGCGCATATCTCACCGCACGACCCATCCTTATTCAATCGCACGCGCACACGCTACTACTTTTGCTGCCTCATTTTTTCTTTGCACAGCAGTGGACTGGAATGGCCTTCCCCATGACATTGCAGCCATCACGTGTTCATCAACATTTGCGCAAAACATAAAAAATGCATATTGTTTGTCAGAAGATCACTCTTTGTAACTTCCATTTGTTAACCCACGCCATGTGTAATATCTCCTCACCGGTGTCTTTAAGGTAATAAAGTGAAGTGAAGTGAAAAACACAACTTGAGGTCATAAAAAAAAAACATGAACGGCTGTGGATGTCTCAAGCTGACGCAAAATATCGTCGCCGCAAGACTTGAAGGTGAGGTTCTGTCATTTACGAATTCTAAGCTCGTTCACACTCAGTCCAAGTGTGGTTTCAAGGCAGTTTGGAGCAGTGCGTTTGTTTTGTAGGGCTGGTGCGCGCCCATGCACACGAGACGATGACGCCAAAAGAGCAACTAGTGACACTAGATGTGACCCTGTGTCTGATATAGCAATACAAGCGAAACCAAAGCTGCTGGAAACTGGTTGACAAGGCCAACTCGGTACTTCAAACATGCGGCGGACCTTCGGAAATAATTTTTGTGAAATAACTTTTACCCGACTCCTAGCAACAGCTGGCATAAATTTCTAGCAATTATTACTGCTCAACACTGTCAAATTGCGAAGCTGACTCTTTAATTCAATATTTGGCTTGCAAAGGTTCTTGTGATTAGACACCTTCGATGCTACTGTAGCATAATCCCGAGGGGCATGCAGTTTTGTCAAGTTGGCCAGCCCAGTGCATTTTTCCAACACATGCACATTGGTTCATGCAAACGTCTTTCAAATATCACTATGTTGCCAAAACAGGCATATTCAAATTGGTTCTGAAAGATTAATGGCTGTACTAATCACTAGAAAGTGCTGGGTCCATGAGAAGCAAATTTAACATGCCAAAAACAACGAACCAAAGCATCAATCACCGGTGATTGACTTGAATAGGCGCAGTAACGAAAGAGTTAATGCCTTATAGCCCCTTTGGTGTCACAACATGTAAACATGCGGCAGCAAGAGTACTTTTCCAAATACAAATATCAACTCACCAATGCAAGCACAAACTTAAACATCTCCAAATTATAAACTGAAGCAGAAAAGTAACTCGACCGTCAATGTAAACTAGAAGCACCACATTCTGGAACAGTTGTACTCCAGATTATAGAAGAAGAGAAAATATAGCTTTATCAAAAAGAACGAGGTCCACTTACACGAATTTGAATGGACTGTTGGTAACCAGGAACATCTGCTTATCAGCTGATTTTAATCGCTCTAGGAACGTCACCAGTTCACTTCGCTTCTCTAAGTAGTCACCTGCGGGATTAAAAGTGCCATCACGGAGTGAGTCAACAGAATTTGTTTACATTAAAAAAGGCAAGTTCATATGATACCATTGAGCAATGATTCCAGATGCACCATATCTGCTTATAACAGTCTTTTGCATTGCAGGCAACTGTGCATTAAACTTTGATGTACTACACGCTAGGAACTTAGCATAGAGACCCTTGCCAATTGTCAGAATCAAAAGAATAAGGTAGTGTGACTTGAACAGTGGCTTGCATACTGACAAAAAGTGGCAACAGAGCTCGGGCGCTCATGCTCAGCCAGTGCAAAGGATAAAAAGACAATGAAGAGTTCAAAATAGAACAGCAAGACCAACGAATGGCCTTTGTCGCTTCATTGATTATGCCTCTTCCTCTCCTCACATTTCATATTTTACACATCTGATGAAGCAAGAGCACACACTTACAACTAAATGTAACAAGCCCTGAGAAATATTACTATTCCCATTAATTTTTCAGCTGCTGCACCTGCTTCAATAGAAATGGAAGACTGGTTGTGTTGATTTGGAATAGTTGATGTGTCAGGCGCAAGGATGAAAACGAACAGAGAGAGAGCACGCTCTGCGGATGCCCCATCTCTGTGTAATCTCGCTATGCTCATTGTCGTCGTCACGCATTACACTTCAAATGTGCTTCGATAGTGCACATGATAGTGCACCCCGACAGATGCAAATCTGTTTTTTTTGTGCTTACGTTGTTATGACATCTTAATTTTCATTTGGTTGTCATTCTTATGGTATTATTTCTGTATACTTTGTTGTTTTAAAAACTTAGTATGTTTTTTTTTCGAACTGGCCCCCATTATTCCTTGAATCAAGCGCAGCGCTGTTGTTGTTCGCCGCCGCTGCCACCGCCGCCACAGGTGTCCATAACCACTTCGCACGAAATAAGAAAAAAAAAAAACTTAGTAGCAAGGACCCAGTCTGCTCCGTGCCAGCCGAGTATTCTACCTCTGAGCTACGCCAACGCTTACGACATGTTCACAAACTTGCCTCAGACAGGCTTGATGTCGGGAAAGGAATCGCGTTAATATGAGTAATGAAGCCTTTTAGAACAGCAAAAGAACAACCAGGCCGGGAAAGGAATCGTTTTAATATGAGTGATGAAGCCTTTTAGAACAGCAAAAGAACAACCAGGCATCACACAATGCGAATAGCGTAACGAGTGTGCTGTCCAATGCTCAAAACCATTACAAAAGCTCGTTTTGAATCACCTAATAACTGTGGCGCATACCAACTTCAGCCATAATTCCTCGTCGTCGTCAGCCACTGCATGAACAATTGGCATGAAATTCCTTGCAAGTGTTTAGCAGATACCACACTTCTCAGAAGATTGACAAAGGATAGCATAGCATATGCCTGCTTACTACCCAGAAGTTATCATTATTAATGCTGTAGTGGGTACGCAGCAAATGCGCTTGCAGCTGTTACCCAATAAGTGTTTATAAAAGGCTCTGAAAGGCTGCTCTTCTAGCTTTCGCTATGACTGTGCTGTGCCTTCAGTGCAGGCCTGGTGTTTTTTCAAGCAGCTATGGAATGAATTCACTGAAGGAGATTATAACCTCACGAAAACTTTAAATAAAGATTTGTGCAGTACGAGTAGAGTTACACAGATTTGTCGCACACTGCACTTGCATTCTTTCTTCTCTCATCTCGACAAAAGTGCTGGAAGCTAGTAGGAAAGGATGACACAGGCAACGAAAATACATCCGAGATGCCTTTTTTCTTTTGGTTTTGAATAATTTTTTCTTTTTTTACATAGTACAAGATAAGTCTATCATTCAAAATGCATACTTTCGACAGTTCTTCTTTGCTATTCTGCTGAACTAGCCTGAATTTATATGAACCTTCTCAAAGCATTTAATAGCCTTAATGAGTGTCTCACATTTATAAATCTTCATTTTTCTTTTAATAAATCGAATACCACAAATTTATTATTTTTTCATGCTACCTGAGAATCAACTTCAATGACATTTCTTCATTTTACAAAAAAAGATAATGTGAAGCCGGGCATGCCCGTGATTACGAATTAATTTGGGCAACTATGAAGTGAATAGTGGATGTAAAGGTACTAATATCTCAAATCTAACCTACAGGATTGATTTCAAAATCAAGGAAGAATCAAATGAAATTATACTTAAAAAATTTTCATTTTTATATTCCTGTAACTCTGCATATTCTCAACCTCATCACGTAAGAGAATTCTAAGATTGCTCGTCCCATATGTCTCTGCAGCTGTTGCTCAACAGCCTTTCAAGACTGAATAAGGCCCTGAAACCCCGACCGAAGTTTCATAAAATAACCTTACTGTGGGAGTCATTTACCTCAAAAATCTTCAGCACCAAGATTTCAAATCCATCAAGTATATGTGAAGCCACTGCAGGAAATCACACTTTCTCTCTCCTTTTGCTGCCATTAGTATGCTGGAAGCTGCCGGAGGGAAACAGCAGAAGGGGCAATGCACCACGCAAAACATTAAATGTCAGGACCTATGCTACTGAGAATTTACTCTTCTTTATTTTTGGCTGCTCTGGCCATTGCTTCTGGTTCTGACATGGACAGCCCTGGTACCGACACCAAGCGGCACATCTCCGCCAAGACTGTCTGACACTTCCAACTCATTGGGCGGTTTTTTGAGGAAGAGAGCAAGCGATTTTCTGCAGTTTTGGCACGATACTGTGAGTTTCCTGCTGCATGTAGGGCAGCAACATTTTGGCTCACATGTTCACAAAAGTATTCAATGCAGGTCACCAATGTTTTCTGACGAAGTTCAAAAAGTGTTGCCGAACCAGTAAAAAAGAAACAGTACTTACTGATGTTGCTCTCATTGAGGGTGTTGTGAATCACTGGATGAATGCTTGAAATGGCATTCTAATAAGAAAAAATGAAGAAACAACTCCAAAAAATATTGTAGAAGCACCAAATAAATTTAGTGCACCACAAAGAAACATAATCGTGAAACTGGATTGCCACCAAGTTGCACTCAATATGAGAATACCTTCGTTGTACCTCACACTTTTTGCTACGAACATAGAGAACTTATACATGCTGATATTAGCGAGGACCACTTTGAAAAATTGTTGTTACGATGGTGTAAAGAAAAGGGGGTGGTGCAAACCTCCCCAAATTTTTTAAATTTTGCATATTTATATTGTTACAGGGTCATGACGGTGACGAAGGGAGCAGACTGTTGGTCAAAGATCAAACTGTTCACTTGGTCGAACTTGCAGAATGTCAATGAAAAGTCAGATTACAGCGATACACCGAGACACTGATAGCAGCGAACAGAGCGCAGGCCGTCGATCAACTTACAAGCGGCAAAGTGGGTTGGCATTTGTACATGCGCCGTTGAATATTCCAGCGTTATCCCTAGTAGCCACGTAAGTTCCAGAATAATATGTAATGTTCGCGCTAGGTGCGTGATCTTAACAAAATGATCTACTACAGTCCCGAAGCTTCTTTAACACTGCAGGCGCAGTTTGTGCTGAACATTACATAGCGTGTAATGGGATGATAACAAAACTTGAAGGAATAAGGCAATATACCTGCGCACACGCAAATGCACACTTGAACATAAAAGTATGCCCCTCCCCCCCCTTATCCCACTCCCAAATGTCCAGTTACCCATCTGCTAAGTTATATAATAGTCCATTATGCTATCTACACACGTTAAAGCATGGTCTTTGATCATATCCTAGAAACAGAAAGAAACAGAAGAGAAGGAGTGCTGGCATAAAAGAGATATCCTTAAGACTCTGTAATAAAACTGTGAAGAACAGGTACACCTAGGCATTACAAAAATGAACGGCGCAAAAATGCACCAAGACTTGGTGCTGATATGCCGGTGTGATGATTTCCGAGTTATGTTTCTTCACATCTCAGGCCTGCTATTGCACAGTAAAAATTTCTATAGATAAGTTCAGACTTTTGCTCTTATTTGAATACAGTGCAGTAAATCCTTAGGGATAACAAAACTAACGAGGCCTAAGCACATGGCGACAAAACGTACAGTGCCACATTAACGTGGCGTGGGAATGTTAAGGCCGTGTTGCCATCCGTGTTTCTTCAGTCCTTGCATCTTTTCTGATTTACGAACTCCTCTAAAGAGAGAACTCTATGGCACTGACGAATGGTGATGTGTTAGTGCAGTTGAAATTATTTTTTTTAGGTCTTCTCTACCAAGATATCCGTTAAATCTTCTCAGTATAATTCAAAAACTACAAAAGCCTGGCAATTAGGGCAGGGAAAAAAAACTACCACCAGACTGGTTGTAGACTCTCTTCCCAGCAGAATTATGCAGTTGCACACTGCAGCTGATACAGTAGCTACACCCAAACTGAGGCAGCTAATGAGTGCCAAGATGCTCATGTATTTCCATTCCTACAGGCACGAATGGACCCCGGTGGCTCAGTACATGTCAGTGCCTTATTCGCAAAGGTTCATGTCATTTCTTTAAGAATTTGATATGACAAAATTATTTTTTTATTACAATTTTTAAATCTGTACAAGTGCAATAGTCTACTTCCAAAAATGCCCCTCTTTTCATGACCCCTTAAATAGGCAGTTTCTATTTGATTTTTTTTTTTTTTTTGTGATGCCCATTGCTCCTAGAACCCTACTCAAACATCCATGACACTCACCTGAATATCGAAGAAGAGAATCTCTGGATTGTAGGCAATGTTGTGCCGCTCGAAATACTCGGTAACATTCGACAGGAGGCAGATTTCGGGCACAGAAAAGAGGTCGTTGAGCTGCTTCATTCGTGCTCCCTGCATGAAAAAAAGCCAGACAGAAGGACCTCCATATCAAAGGCATCATGCAGCTTGCACAAACCAGTGTTTACTGTCACCACATATCCGCAACACCTTAAAGTGTCACCATCATCATCATCATCAGCCTGACTATGCCCACTGCAGGACAAAGGCCTCTCCCATGTTCTGCTAGTCAACTCGGTCTTGTGCTTGCTGCTGCCACTTTATACCAACAAACTTCCCAATCTCATCTGCCCACCTATTTCAAACGACTAATAGGATTAGTTACTCTCCACTGGCACATTGTTACAGTTCACGAGTTGTATGGTGCATAAGAATGTGAGCGGATGATATTTCTACTCTAGAGATCCTTGCACTTAGAAATATGACAATATCAGTTGCGTTTCTTTGCCGAAAAGTTGTCTCAATGGCTTTAGAACATCCCCACTTCAATTGACACTTCTCATTAAACTGTTCCTTCTGCTTGTTACTATAACTTGATAGTTAACTAAAGTTGATGCAGCACTGTATGTGCCTTGAAAGGCAGAGTACTGGGCTTGAAATGTGCAGCACTGTACTTAAATCTGAGCCTCATTACATCTGTCTTAAGTTTCAGTTCCTTTAAAATGGCTGCAGTTCTATCAACGCTAACTCATGTTGAAAAAGATGTTGATGATATGATCACTACCAAATGTTAATGTATTTAAAGGATAGCTGACTGCATTGACAGCTTTCTTCTTTTGCATAGCAGGTTTTGTTGTTGTTGTTGTTGTTGTTGTTGTTGTTGTAGGTAAAAGCTAAGTGACTCTGTTACTCATAAGATTGTTCCATAATTAAGAGCTAGAAAATGCCACACTCATGCACTCACCTGTTCAGCATTGCCTCTTATCATGTACTGGGGAATGTATGATCCACCATAGGTATTGATTACTTCCTCTTTGCTTAGTGGTGTAAGGCCCCTGAAAAGTTTAAACAGTTCACTGGATCACTACATCCCTTTCATTCAGAAATGCATATCTACAATGAAATCCATAAATCATAGTGTCTCTTATACCTATGACATAAAAGACAGCATGTCGTCTTCTCATTTTATGAGTAACTTCACTGTAATGTTGAGAACCTTCTGCCTTCACACTTTTTATGTGTCAGAAGCATTGTTTTAAATAGTTACAACAAGCATATGCTGGTTGCCGTTCTCAAATAAGGCCAGCTTCGAAGAGATAACACACTGGTAATTTGTGCAAATCTATAGTAGATGCCAGCTGCAGGTGCAGTGAGAAAAGATGATGGGAAATCTGATAAGAGTTAATGTAATGATGGAATGATAAAAGGCAATGAACAATACCAAGGACAGCACACACCGACATGATAAAGCTAGCATATATTAAAAACTTTCAAAGCACTGTTAGTTTCTAGTTTGTATCAGTTTGCATTGCTGCATATGTAAATCACAGCTGCTCCTCATTACTTAAAGGGACCCTGGGACACAATTTGAGCATCTCTTTTTCATAGGTTTTTCTGGTCCTGTAGAATGTGCCCATATCACTGCGCAAGTGGCAATGCCGAAGACTCGAAGCTGTTATATTATTTCACGGGACTAACTACCTTGATTTCTAACTACGGCGACACACATCAGCTATTTTTGATATGGGAAGTGATGTTATGTGATGTGACAATGACGACAAAAGCCATTAGCTTCTGATTTGCTTGACACGAGAAATAGTGTGCAATATTCATATGGTGGTAGCTTGGCCATACAAGTGAATGCTAAAAACAGTCAAAACCTTTTTATACTTTCTCAGAAAGAAATATTTCTGCTGCTTGAATGATGTATTTCAAGAACAATGAACACGATACTTTGACGGTGAATGTGGCTATGGTGCGTCATTAACTAAAGGTGGAAGTGCAAGCCGTTTTTTTGGCAAGCCAGAAATGCGAAAATGGGCGGACGCCGGTGTTGCTGTAGAACGCGTCTTGAGTGCAAGCTGAGAAGTGTTCTTGACTGAAGAGTATGTATGTATCATACACAGTGTGACTGTGGGACGTGGCAGTGTCTGCTACCCGACACATATGGTTCCTTGTAACTATGCTAATGACACCGTCACAAAGCAATAGCAAGGTAACTGTGTGAATGCCACCATAAGGTGATATTTGCCGCATGTCTTTGAAACATGTGCTATGACTGGAAGCAGTCTTTGAAGTCAGCAAGCGAGTGAAGCGCAAAAGCGAACATTCCTTGTCATTTTCTGCTCGAGTTTTGAACTTTGAGGCCTTATACCTTCAGGTTTCCTGTACTAATTTGCATCAATCTTGTTGCATTCCTCTCGACAATTATTACTAAAAGCGTTTTGGTGCTAAGTGGTGCAAAAGTGTTGCACGTCCTTTTCAATGTGAACAAGTTGACTTAAAGCAAGATAGAGCTCATAGGCTAACAACAGTGGCATTAAATATCTCACATTTATTGATAGTAGACTAACAACCATATTAAATATCTAAAATTTAAGTAAATGCATCAATGTTTCATATATACAAGACGATGTGAGATACATGGAAGAGAGGAGTTCAGGAAAAATAGCATCCAATGGTTTTGAGCAATAGAAGCTGCATATCAAGATGAGAAAGGAAGACAAAAGTTAGTAAAATAAAAATTATCTGTACATAGGCAAAAGCCCAACAGATCAGAGGAAGTAAAGTTATAATGGGAAAAGGTGAAAAGACACAATGTGAGACGATCTTCGAGCTTGGAAAAGGAGGAAAGAATGGCTTCATGATAAAGTGATTAAAAAAAAAAGAAAGCATGGCTATTAAGAACAGTGTCTCTAGTAAATAACCACAAGAAATCTGAGTACAGCTGTTATAAGAATAAAGAGTGTCACATCTGAGACACCATACCTGTAAACGCTGCAGAACTGTATCTGATGAAAGAGATCCATCTTCATAAGTATGCCCTACCGGATACAAAAGAACACATCGGCATATGATGACACAGCGAACAACAATTTTATTTCTGTGTAGCACCACCCTCGTGGGATGTTCTGAACTGCGCGGAAACACTGAAAAGGCACGAAGTTTGATTGCTAAACTGCCCAACCAGATGAGGTGTACAAGATAGAGTGCTTGAATGTACGGTCATAACAAGAGTTCTTTAGAAATGAACCTTTGTGAATATGAAGAGTTGGTTTGAGACATAATAGAAAATCTTGTGGCACATTCCATTGAGCTCATGCGCGAGGTTTGCCTATACTAAGTGATGCCACGTTTGCGACACTATGATTCAGCTTTACTGGCACGAAATGGCAGCCGATGCATAAGTCAACCTCAAATACCTCTTCAGGAGCTAAAGCATGTATCTTATTCCGACATGTGCATGACAAAAGATTTCTTAAAAGTATGTTCGAGCTGCCTGTGGTGGAGGTTTCACACAAGCACACTGAGCACTCCCCTTGTAACCGCCTTGTGGCACAATAAGGGAACAGAATCTACGCTGCTATGACTAATGAATGACATCAATCACCAAATTCACCTTTTTCATGTCATATTGGAGGCCTCGAATTGCAAATCCTGGCCTGTATTCCAGTTGTGCAATGTCTTTTGGATACTGCATAAGAAAAAATGTATATGAAGCAACATTAGCAGCGGAAAGGAGAAGACAAGATGCCCTAACTAAATATGCAGTAGCAGACCTGTTTGACAGGATGTTCAGTTACGTATGTCGATGCAAAGTTTACATTCTAGGAACGCCTTTCTCTTAGAGATGGTAGAAAAGGATTTAGAGAAAACTGTGCATTCTCCAAAGGCTGATACATATGTATTGTTATCAATCGATATTCTTAAACTTCAGCTAAGAAAAGTGTATGTCAAGACAGCATTCGTCCACAACGATTGAGTGCTGTTGAGCGTGAAATCGAGGGAATGCAGCAAGCTTTGGCAATAAGCCACTGAACTGGAAAAAGTTAAAAATGCAGAGCAGCAACAAATAGCCGCCAGTTATGGCGCTTAGTTGCATTGTTGAAAGTAGACTGAGGTTTCACAATGACTTTCTATGCCAAGTGTTCGACATGACCTGTGTCTACATCAGGTACGGCCATACAAAATCTTCATTGCCAAGCATTATTCAAGCTAATCCTGATTAGGGGCTAGAAACAACTTGTAGGTTAGGCGAGTCAGTTAGGGGGAAAACTTTGACAGAAGTTCATCATCATCAGCCTAACTGTGCCCACAGCAAGGCACAGGAGATACCATGGCATTATTATTACACTGCACCATAATTAAGTCTGTCAGCTGTCAGGCCTCTTATGTAGTTAATGAAAGGACGACTTGGGACATTATGTATAAATTAGGTATGGCACGCTGCGAGTGCCATACATAATTTAATTACGTCTTTTGTGCTTTCGTAGGATTCCTCATGTCGAACATCAAACATCCACCCTGCAAAACATATATATTCAGCCCAGATGTGACGTTTGCAGTCGGAATAACGATTTCCTAGTAGCGTAAGGTATGCTTACTCTATCTCATCATCAAACGCCACTACGCAACTTCAATAATTAAGGGAAAAGACAAAGAGTGAGAAAAGAAGAAAACGTCGTCACCTTGAACTTGTTTATCAGCCAATCCCTGCCAAGGTCATAAATGAGGTAGTGCAGTTTCTCAGTGTACACGGCCAGTGTGTAATCATAGTCGAAGCCGTACACCTCGATCTGCGATATGTCCAGTTCATTATTCGCGAATACGCCGAATGGGTTCACTTCCGGCGTTGGCAGAGCTGTAACACGGAGAAGGCGATGTAGGGTTGACGCAGCCAGACGATAAAAACAGGCGAAAAGGGTACAACACGAGGTTTAGGCAAGGATGCAACATATATGAACCCACTTAGTCCGCGCCAGACACTAGATATAGCGACGACAGCCACGCTCGTTACTCCCAGTATCGGAAAGGGGTCAACGACATTGATGGCAGATTAGGAGACGGCGTTACTGTTTCGGCAAAACAAACTGCAGTGACCTGCTGTGACATCGCTGAAGTTTAGTTCGGCTACCACGAACGCAAGACGTGTGTCTGCAGTGGAGGACAACAAAAGAAAAGGCGGTCTGTCAGAAGTTGAGCGAGTAACTACGCACCCTCGCACGCTTGCTTGGCACTCAAATACTTTTCGAGCAGAGACGTCTGCGAATAAACGCCGCTGTCGTCAAACGCCTCAGTGCTGTCCCTAGATGAGCGCTGAATGCAACGGGCAGACCGTATTGTGTGATTCAACTGGCTTTGCAGGACGAAACTCGTTTTCTTGATGTTGCAAACGGATCTGCACAGCAGACGACATGCCGCCATGATTGCGTTTGATTTGCGGCGGCGACAGTGTAGCCAACCGGGATATTTAGTGGCGCTGTTAATAAGGCGTAAAGGCTGAGACGAAGCATCACTGTGCAACGTAAGGTAAACTTGAAATCCTACTTAAATCATTTTAGTTATAAAAATAAATTTTGCACACACAAGTAAGTGAAATACGAAGAAAAAAGTTTGTTACAGTGTCTTAGTTTAGAAAACATACTTTGCCACGCTCAAAAGTCAACAAAAGTGTGCGGAAAATAAGTAATACAACAGTTTACTTATTCGTAAGTTTTAGACTTTTAATTTATTATAAATTAAACACAAAAACGCACATTTATTTTTTTGTTATTCTACATATACGTGTTAAACATAAATTTCTGCCATCTCCGGCATGGTCTAGTGGTTAGGATACCTGGCTCTCACCCAGGAGGCCCGGGTTCGATTCCCGGTGTCGGAACAAATTTTTGTTTTTATTAAATTTGTTTTTATTACAACGTTATCCAAGTATCACGCTTTTATGAGTGACGAGGAACGATCTGATGAACCATCGAGCGAAAAGTAGAGGCCACTCATTTCCGAAATTGGAGCGATCTATAATAGCGCCTCCGAAAGGTTTCTTATGCGGATACACATGTTTCCTTTTCCACAAGCAAAGCCACCGCAACGCACATCGCTTTTGAAGAACCGTAAAGCATTTTTACGGAATGCAGTACAACAGCTCAGGTCTTCCCCGAGGAAACACGCGTGTTTAACATTACGTTCGTGTTGCTGGCGTTATGCGTAACGCAGACGCGTCGGGCTGCCTGCAGCGCTTTCTTACACAAGACAGTTGCCCCTCCCTCTTCCCCTTCTTCTTGTCTTTGATTACTTCATACAAACTGTACATGTTGCACAAAGCCCAGGAATAGAGAATGAAATCTGGGAAATCGTATTAGGCCAAGGTGTTCCGTTATAACCGAGTGGACGTATTACAGCCAAACGTATACCAAGGCGACACTTTACCGCTCTAGTTTGACAGACGTTAATGTATATCTAATGTCACACTGAATTATGTCAATATACGAGCGCAGGCTTCTGCAATTAAGTTCCGTTGGTACTTCAAAGATCAGACGAAAGCGAACGGCTTTCTCTATCTCTACATCCGTGACAATGATATGAATGGCAAATCATAGAATGCACTAGTGCACGTACGTTCATTATATAACAGAATGTCTTCCATAATTCTGACGAAATTTTTGTGGATAAGTAGGCCGCTATGTGTAGGGGGGGCTGGGGTCAAAAATACGGTCATTGAAATAACTGTCGTCTATCGACAAATCGTACTTGTCCAATAAAATATACAATATTGACACTTAATACAATCGCTACGGCGGCTTTATTAATCGTACTGTTACGCGACGCATTACCGCTCGGCCGTAGCAACCGCATGTAACACCTTACAACACTTCCCCCGTTTAAGTCGCCCAGCTGGCCCATTTTCTGAATCGTATACACGCTATGACGGAAATGAAGGGGGCTCAAGGAATATATGGGGACGTGAAGACGTTGGTGACGTTGGTAGCAGGAGATTATGATTTCTGACCGGGCGACCGTTCTCGCAACTTCCCGCGAGAGACGAGATCGAGATCAGCGAGACCGCTGGCTGCACGTGGTACCGGGGGCGGCTAGCGGCGGCTGCACTGGGCGGAATGCAAGTTCGGCAACGGCCCAGGCGAAGCGGCAAGCTAGGCGCAGCGAGCCTTTTTGTGAGGCAATTTCCTCCGTCCCACTTTCGTTACACAACGTTTTCGTAAACGCTGAAGGAAAAGGAAAGTAGTCGCCGGGCCGATCCTCCAAGCCGTCTGGCTGCGTGCACGCGTACTCCCAGCCGCTAGGCCGTCGACCTCAATGCTCGCCCGCGTTCCCGCGGTCGGAATGACAGGTACGAAGAAGTGCGTAACTACGCCTTTGCCACCGTTCTGCCCTAAACGCGCATTACTCGAGTTAAGCTGGATACGACCACGACACGTGCGCAACGTCATCATCAGTGCCACCTTCCCGAGCTAATGCGCCTGATTGGTTCGATGCAAGATTTGCAGTGGATCCGCGGTCGCCATATGACGGAGGACTTCGTGTTACCGCGCCAAGCATCATTCACTGTCGATTGTCTTGTACGTAGAGCAATCTCTATACAAACTCTGCTTCAAACAGCACTATATCCTCTGCTATCAGTAGTATGAATTGTTTGTGATTGAGTGCTGATGGCACGTATGATGATGACACAAATCAGTGATCACACGCGGAATCAAGCAGGGAAATGATTCCATGCACTTCGCACTTTCCCGAATGACAGAATTTTCTTAAATCAGAAAATATCAGGAAGGTATAAAAAGAAAGCTTCACAGCGGAAGAAAATTTTATCCTAGCTGCCCGTTTCGGAGATGGATCCCGAAGTATCGGACGATCTGCCGTCGGAACTAACCAAGGCACTGGAAGGCTTGCAGAACAAGTTCGGATTAATGAGCTCCACAATATTGTACCGTTCTTCGTGGTTTTACCGTGCGTTTTTAACGCCAATCGGCCATGCGATCTTTCAATTACTTCCAAATTCGACAACTTGTATAGACGTGCACATGGGGAGAGGAGGCAGGGGAGGGGGGGCGCCCCCTATAGTCATATAAGAGAGGTGGTGGGTGGGTGCAAAGTAGTCAGCCCCGTATATTGACATAACAGGGATTGGGGGGGGGGGGGGGCGCAGTAACGAAGCTTTGCGCACTCTGAAGGGGAACCCTTCACATGCGCATGCATTGCATTTCTGAACGTTAGCTCTGGTGCAACGTTTCTTTTTTTCGAATACAACCTATAATCATTCTGGACCTTGAAGTGGCCTATGTTCGCATATATGAATTCCCATTCTCCTTCATATACAGAAGGGCGAATGTTTGGCCGGGTCTGTCTTTCGTTTATAAAGTTTAAACACGCTAAATCTGCGACATCATTATGAGGCACGCCGTAGTGAAGGGCTCGGAAAATTTCGGCACTCCTCGTATACCGTTGCATACGCCCCAGCAATTTTATATTATGTCAGCTATATGTATGACTCGGTGTTGAATTGACACCGAGTGATTAGTCGTTTCTTGGTCATCGTGCATAACAATTCCCGATTACTTCGCGCTGAAACTATACAGGCCTATATTTATCGCTTTCGTTGCCACGCATATTACAAAGGCTGTAAAATGTCTACTAGTGTCATCATGTCGTCCGTATATATACATTAGCCGAGGAAGGTTTTTTTTTTTTCGTCTTTCGAAGATTCCGGGGTTTCCGGAAGTCGGCACCAACTGGGCCGCGCATCTTGTGTGAGAGCGATGCGTGTATGAAGGTCATCCAAGGAGAAAACCTGAAGAGCCCCAAAGGAGCTAAACAAACTATGGGTGTACTTTCACCCAAACCTGAACCTGAACCTGAACTTGGCAACGTTTAACGCTAGAACCTTATGTAGTGAGGGAAGTCTAGCTGTACTATTCGAGGAGCTAGAGGGTGTTAAATGGGATATAATAGGGCTCAGTGAGGTTAGGAGGACAGATGAGGCCTATACGGTACTACAGAATGGGCACGTCCTCGGGGCTTGGCTGACAGAAGAGAACTGGGAGTGGGGTTCCTAATTCACAGAAACATAGCTGGCAACATAGAGGAATACTATAGCATTAATGAAAGGGTGGTAGGTATCGTAATTAAACTGAATAAGAGATACAAGATGAAGGTGGTGCAGGCTTACGCGCCTACATCCATGATGACGCTTCAGTTGAAAACTTCTATGAAGACGTGGAATCGGCAATGAGCAAGGTAAAAACACAGTATACAATACTGATGGGAGACTTTAATGCAAAGGTAGGGAAGAAGCAGGCTGGAGACCAGGCAGTAGGAGATTATGGCATCGGTACTAGAAACGCCAGAGGAGAGCTACTAGTAGAATTCGCAGAACGCAATAATTTACGGATTTTGAATACCTTCTACCGAAAACGAGGAAACCGCAAGTGGACATGGAGGAGCCCTAATGGCGAAAATAAGAACGAAATAGACTTTATAATGAGTGCACACCCAGGCATCGTGCAGGATGTGGAAGTGGTTGGCAAGGTACAATGCAGTGACCATAGAATGGTACGGTCTCGAATTCGCCTAGACTTGAGGAAGGAACGACAGAAACTGATACGCAAGAAGCCAATTAATGAGCTAGCACTTAGAGGGAAAGTACAGGAATTCAGAGTCTCGCTTCAGAACAGGTACTCGGCTCTTAGTGAGGAAACCAACCTTAGCGTAGATACAATGAATGATAATCTGACGAGTATCATTACGGAGTGTGCAGTGGAAGTTGGAGACAGGGTAGTTAGACAGGACACTGGCAAGCTTTCCCAGGAAACGAAGAATCTCATTAAGAAGCGTCAAGTCCTGAAAGCTCCAAGTACAACAGACAAAATAGAACTGTCAGAGCTTTCGAAGTTGATTAATAGGCGTAAGGTATCCGATGTAAGAAGGTATAACATGGAGAGAATTGAACACGCTCTGAAAAACGGAGGAAGCGTCAAAGCAGTGAAGAGGAAACTTGGGATAGGCAAAAATCGGATGTATGCACTAAGAAACAAAGAAGGCAAAATAACTACCAATATGGATAGGATAGTTAAAATAGTGGAGGAGTTTTACAGAGGTCTGTACAGTAGCCGGGAGAACCACGACTTTAATACTATAAGAACTAGCAGTAACCCAGATTACACCGCACCAGTAATGATAGAAGAAGTCAGGAAAGCTTTGGAGAGCATGCAAAGAGTCAAAGCTGCTGGTGAGGATCAGGTAACATCAGATCTGCTGAAAGATGGAGGACAGATTGTGTTAGAAAAACTAGCCACCCTGTTTACGAGGTGCCTCCTGACGGGAAGGGCACCAGAGTCTTGTAAGAACGCTAACATCATCTTAATACATAAGAAAGGAGATGACAAGGACTTGAAGAATTACAGGCCGATTAG